TGCACAAGCAGGATTCGAACACAAGAGCAACGCCCCTCTCTGGTGGTTTCCTTCTCAATTGATGTTCAGAAAGGTTACTGCCTGCCTCCAACTGTGGAGCCATCCTGGCTAATAGCCATCAGATTTTCCGCCATGAATTTGTCTCATCCTCTTTGAAAGCCATCTAGGTTGGCGGCCATCACTCCTTCCTGTGGGAGTGAGTTCCATAGTTTAACAATGTGTTGCATGAGGAAGGACTGTTTTTTGAATCTGTCCTGAATCTTCCAGCATTCTGTTTCACTGGAGTTCTAGTTTTATGAAAGAGGGCAAAACTATTTTCTTTCTCCAGAGCGTGCTTAATTTTACAAACCTTTTCTCAAGGAGTTTTCCTCACCGGGGAGTTCCTCTATTTACTTGATCGTTTTGGTTGACCTTTTGTGAACCTTCTTGGCGATTCTGAACTGAGGGAGTTTTTGGTGGGTTTTTTTCTTTTTTCTTTTCGTGTTTCTACTTTCAACTCTTGCCTCTAGAAGGGAAAGAAGCCGCCCTCCTTGCAAAGAAAGGGGATTTATTTATTTAAATTCCTTTCTGCTGGCCTTCAGCATCGCGGCGGCAGCACTTTCCTGTGCAAGGAGGCGTGTGTGGGAAGGTCTCACGGAAAAAAGAGCTGTAATTTTAGATGTTTGGATTCTTGTTCCGAGGGGAGACGAAAAGCTGGAGGATGTACTTATGTGGCGAATTTAAAAAGTGGTGTGTAACTGAGACAGGCTCCTTCCAAACCACCAAGAACGCAGAAGTCTCTTGTCTAGCGGGTCCCTGAGTCGCAGCAGCAGAGCCGAAAAGGGAGCGCGTTCGGAGCTGCAGGGAGCTCTATAGAGCTGGATCAGGGCAGGGATTCCTTCTCTAGACCATGGAAAATAGACCTGTGTCTTTAGAGACACAGTGGCTTTAGAGACACGCAATGGCTGCTCCTCAGCTGCTTCTCTTTAAAGGGAAAAAATGTAGTAACTGCCGCCTTGAGAGATCTCTCAACTGCTATGAGTTCCTGAGGCCAGGATCAGGCAGGATTTTTCAGTGTCCCACCCTCAGCAACCCAACGCCAGAAAATGATTTCAGACCTCCTGTAGGCAGGCATTTGGACGTTTGACCCAACAAATGCAATTATTACCGTTATCCATTGGCTTAGCTAACAGTATTTATAACCCTTGGATAACTCAAAGGGAGTTTTCAGCAGCTGGACAATGTTTCCAAAAGTTCACCAGCGTTTTAGTGCGCCATTTCTCTTAGCACATGTAGCTGTGTGTACAATTTTGCCTGATCTCTATAGTCTTTTGCAAGCAGATCTGCATAATTCAATGCACCTTTGTAGGTCATTTTCACTGACGTGCGCACTTTCAACGCACAATTTCCCTTAACATACACATGTTTTGGTTTTTGTTTATAATAATTTTTATTAATTTTAACATATAAATTATAGTACATACCACAAAACATCACCACTTATACAATCTTTTTTTTTTTTTTTTTGGACTGCCATCAGCACCTCTACTGATCCACCGTTTTGACCACTTCTTATGCATTTCTTAAATTCATATTGCCTTTAATTATCTTAACTAACCATCCTCCCCTTTATTCATTTTTGCAATTGTTCCAATAATTCACCTCACAAAATAATAATAAATAATAATTTATTATTTAATAATTTATTAAATAAATTATTATTTAATAACTTAATAATAATAATTATTTAATAATTTATTATTTAATATTATTTAATAATAATAAATAATAATAAATAATAATTCACCTCACTTCTTGCAAACCTACAAACGTAGTCTTATCATCACAATTACTTTTCAAATAGTCTGTAAATTTACACCAGTCTTCTGTGAATTTCTGGTCCCGCAGATTTCAAATCCTTCCTGTTAATTTATCTAGTTCTGCATAGTCCATTAATTTCATCCTCCATTCTTCTATCATCGGTAATTCTTCTTGCTAACATACACATGTTTTGGTTGGAGAACTCCGTCACAAAATTCGGAGCTGGTTGGATTTGGAAGGACAGCTGCATTTCAGTTCACGTATTGTTTTGAAAATTCAAAATGAGGCAGACTTGCATTTACATGTGAACAGAACCACATTTCTCACTCACCTACCCACCCCTAACTCTTAATATCCTTGCTGGGGGCATCTCATTCTCTGACACTAAATTTTGAGAGGCAGGCAGCTAAGAAAGGTGTCCAGGAGCCTCTGCCCCTGTTTCCAATCTTACCTTAGCCAGAAATTCACAAATGGCAGCTGGCAAATAGAGTAAGACATCTGGTGTCCTGCCTCATTTACAATATGGGCATATTACTGAACTGTCGTCGAGGATTCTTGAGACGGGGCTTCCTCAGTGATGGCACCCAGGTTGTGAGAACTCCATATTCTGGGAGATTTTATTCAGGGCCACTCCTGGGTGGCTTTTAGGGTTAGGGTCAAAACAGCATTTAGTTTAGAGAGAAGGTGAGAGAGAGGGGACATGATAGAAGTTTATAAGATTATGACTGGCATGGAGATGGTGGATAGAGAAGAGTCTTTCTCCCTCTTTCATAATGCTTGAACTCGTGGGTATCCAAGGAAGCTGGATGTCAGAAGATTCAGGACCGATCAAAGAAAGTACCGTATTTTTTGCACCATAACACTCACTTTTTTCCTCCTAGAAAGTAAGGGGAAATGTCTGTGCGTGTTATGGAGGGAATGCCTACGGGTGGCGGGGGGGGGATCTGCTGCAGTCGTGAGCAGAGGATCCATGGTTCCCCTTCCTTCCCTCCTCCGTGGCTCGGTTTGAAACAGCAAAGCGGAAGAAGAGCCGCTGAGTGGGACAGAGAGCCTGCTTCTTTAAAGGAGCAAAGCGGGAGAGGAGAGGAGCCACTTACACAAGTGTAAGCAGCTCCTGTCCGGTTGGTTCCTTTAAAGCAAGCAGGCTCTCTATCCCTCTCTCCTCCCCACTCAGCTCGCTACATAGCCGCAAAGTTTTTCAGTTCGCTAAGTCGGGGATGAGTGGCGGGGGGGGGGGAGGAAGAAAAGCAGAGCCTGCTTGCTTTAAAGGAGCAAAGTGGGAGAGGAGAGGAGCCTTCTCCCCTTATACCCCTCTTCTTCATTATTAGCAGCATCCTTCTCCACCCACCCCACAAGTGCTTCTTCTCCCCTTAAACCCCTCTTCTGCATTATTAGCAGCATCCTTCTCCACCCACCCCACGCGTGTTCCTTCTCCCCTTAAACCCCTCTTCTGCATTATTAGAAGCATCCTTCTCCACCCACCCCACACGTGCTCCTTGTCCCTTGAGTGCTTTTCCTTCCCTCCCCACTTAAAACGTGGTTACAAAGCACAGATCCACATGGATCCTCAGGAGTTTTGCATTGGGCTACTCCAAACTCACTGTCAGATCACATGTCTGTGGCCACAGCATGAACCACAAAAATCAAACATCCACTGTTTCGTTTAGAATATTTTTTTCCTTGTTTTCCTCCTCTAAAAACTATGTGCCTGTTATGGTCGGGTGCGTGTTATAGAGCGAAAAATACGGTACTTCTTAATGCAGCCTTGTTGTTGTTATATTTATTTATACTCTGCCTTTCCCCCTGATGGGACTCAAGGCAGCTTACAGATAAAAACAAGAACCACTAGAAACATAAGACAAATCAATCAATAACATACAATTAAACACTGATAGAATTAAAACGATATCCATATATAAAATCTGTAAAACACATCAATAGTTACAATAAACGATAAACTATGGAACTTGCTCCCACAGGAGACAGTGATGGCAACAAACCTCGATGGCTTTCAAAGCAGAATCCTCCTCAGGGCTGTCTTAAGCATATGTGGCCCTAGGGTGCAAAGATCCGCCCGGTGCGCCCCTCCCTGGTTGCCCAGTCCCAGGTGCGCAGGAGGGCGGAGCCGGCCAGCCACCTCATCGTCTCGCTGGCTCGGTCGCCCCCAAACTTGTGGCACAGAGCCACCCACAGCAGAAGAGCCTGGCGTGGCGCTCTGACCGACGCGTGAACTCTTTCCCGGACTCAACTCTCGGGCCCCACACGCCTAGTGCCTATGCTTAAGACGGCCCTGATTCTGCTTAGAAGCTTCCCTTTGGGCATCTGGCTGGCCACTGTGGGAGCAGGATGTTGGTTTAGGTGTATTCTTGCATGCTTTTGACCTAAGCAATATTTTAAGGTGTTCTCTTTCATGTTTCACGGTGTGCTACTTTCGTCTTGCACAACAGTGTTCCACTGTTTCAAAAAGTTTTGCCAGTGGAACCAGTGAACCACTAAGAGACATTAACCTGCCACTACAGTGGATGCAGCCCTATCTAACTTTCTCCCTAATGCTACTGAACCGTTTTTCATTTAGAACAGGTTTGTTTCCTCAGGACCGGCCCACCCATGAGGCAAAGTGAGATAATCGCCTCAGGTGGCAGGATCCACCAGGGCAGCAGATTCTGGTGTTGAGTCCCACTCCCCACCCCCTGTTCCTGGTAGAGATCTTCCCTGACCCCTTCTTACCTGGCATGGAGGGAGTCACCATTTTGGGGTCTGCCTCAGGTGCCAAAATGTCTTGAGCCGGCCCTGGTCTCACTTTCCCCCATTGAAATCAGCTGAAAAGCTCTGTGCAGCGACAGAGCCCGTCTCAAAGCTGTGCGGGGATGCTGATCAGAGGGCAATCCTTGTGTGATTTGTGTAGTGCCAAGTTAAAGGTCCAGTGCTGCAGTTATTTATCCTTGTCAAGGAACAGTCCCCAGGGCTCACCTGGAAGATCTATCATCCGCATGGACCTTTCAAAAGCAACAGATGAAATACGGGCATTTCCCTCCTCCCTCCCCCTTCAAGGAACTGCGAAAGGCATTTTGAACGGGAGATCAGCTTTGAACCTGATGAGCTCCACAGATGTCCAGATGAACCAAACCTTAATAAAGCAGCAGCAACCTAAATGTTTCTGTAATTAAACCAATATTGCCTGGAATGATTTTCTTTTCCAGATCAGGAAGTGTCTTGCACCACTGGAATGAAATCTACCACTTTGTGGAACATCTGGCACACAAATTTATAAGGTAAGAAATTTGGCTGATAGTAGAAGGTTGATTTCAAGAAGCTTAAGTGTGATTAGGCTTCAGACGTGCATTTTTACTCGAAAGTAAGTTCCACTATGTTCAATGGGGCTTAAAGGTAAAGGTAAAGGGACCCCTGACCATTAGGTCCAGTCGTGGCCGACTCTGGGGTTGAGGCGCTCATCTCGCTTTATTGGCCGAGGGAGCTGGCGTACAGCTTCCGGGTCATGTGGCCAGCATGACTAAGCCGCTTCTGGCGAACCAGAGCAGCACATGGAAACGCCGTTTACCTTCCCGCCGGAGCGGTACCTATTTATCTACTTGCACTTTGATGTGCTTTCAAACTGCTAGGTTGGCAGGAGCAGGGACCGAGCAATGGGAGCTCACCCCGTCGCGGGGATTCGAACCGCCGACCTTCTGATTGGCAAGTCCTAGGCTCTGTGGTTGAACCTACAGCGCCACACACGTCCCTCAATGGAGCTTAGTCCCAAGTTAAAAGTCCTTTTGTTTTGCTGAGTAAACATGCATGGAATCAGGCCTTCATGTCTAATTGTGGATTATACCAGAGGAGAATCAAGTTCTTTCATCTCTCTTGGCTTCAGTTGGGCTTGTCCTTTTGATTCACAGCTGAGAAGAATTCATTGAGCAAATTCACAATTTAATTTGGTTGTGGGAGGGAAACCTCTAGTTTGTTTTGCCTTGAGCTTTCATTTTGCCTTACATTGGATTCTGTTTAATTAAATGAAGGGAGCATAATTTATAATACAGAATGAATTCCAAAATGGATCCTTTCCTTCTGTACAGTGGTGCCTCGCAAGACGAAAAACCCGCTAGACGAAAGGGTTTTCCGTTGCGGAGGCGCTCCGCAAGACGAATTTCCCTATGGGCTTGCTTCGCAAGACAAAAACGTCTTGCGAGTCTCGCCATTTTTTTCTTGCTCCCCCCCCCCTTTTTCAAAGCCACTAAGCCGTTAATAGCCTTTTAACAGCTTAGCCGCTAAGCCTTTAATAGCCGCTAAGCCGCTAAATCGCTAATAGCGCTAATCCGCTTAGCGACTAATGGGGTTGCTTCGCAAGACGAAAAAACCGCTAGACGAAGAGAATCGCGGAACGGATTCTTTTCGTCTTGTGAGGCACCACTGTATTTTCTTGAGCAAGGTATCTTAAGGGTTCCACTCTGACCGAAATAAATTGATTCATTCATTCTAAGGGTTCCTCTCTCCATCTCATTAAATACTTTGGTTTTGATTTTGGATTTTAAAAACCTGTCATGGTATTCTTCTAGCCCTTCTGTTATGTTTTTCTAGATCACTGGTTCCCAAAGTGGGGGGAGGGAGGATTACCGGGGGTGGGGGGGGTGGCGCTCAGAGGCACGTTAATCACTTATGATTGACCAGTCTGGACCCTTGCTTCCTGCTCTTATTGCTTTTAAAGCTATTTCCTTAGGTTGCTTTTAAAGCTATTTCCTTAGGTTACGTTTGATTGTATTTATGATTCTGAGTTGCCACAGTTCACAAGATTATTGGAACAGCAGTTATTGGAACAGCTGCTGATTTTCATATTAATTTGTCACTGTACATCAGTGGTGGGTGAAGGTTTGTACATGTTTGATAAATCGCTCTTAAATTTCCTTCACCCTTCTGTTTTTGTTAATAAGAGTGTGGGGGGGTGGAATTCATGCAATATTCTTGGCTGAATTTTGTTGTGTTATTATCTTCCTTGCCGATCGAAAGGTTGGCGGTTCGAATCCCCGCTGTGGGGTGCGCTCCCGTCGTTCGGTCCCAGCGCCTGCCAACCTAGCAGTTTGAAAGCACCTTCTGGTGCAAGTAGATAAATAGGGACCGCTTACCAGCGGGAAGGTAAACAGCGTTCCGTGTGCTGCGCTGGCTCGCCAGATGCAGCTTGTCACACTGGCCACGTGACCCGGAAGTGTCTGCGGACAGCGCTGGCCCCCGGCCTATTGAGTGAGATGAGCGCACAACCCTAGAGTCTGGCAAGACTGGCCCGTACAGGCAGGGGTACCTTTACCTTACTATTATCTTTCTTAGTGGGCCATGCAAGCCGCTATTCTGAATAATGCTTTTTATAGGGTTAGGGCAGGGGACACTAGGGATGAGTTCATGGAACCAAGGGAATGGCAACCAGATAAAGTTTGGGAACCACTGCTGCAGAATCTAGAACCACTTCAGGCTTGCATAGCTGTGCACAGAAGCCTGACAACCAGCCATAGCTGTCAACCGTCCCTTATTTGGCGGGAAACTCCCTTATCCCAGCGCAGTGTCCCGCTGCTGTCCCTTATTGATGATGTCCCTTAAATTTCCCTGGTTTCATGCTTGCCCGGCTCGGGAGGGAAGCAGCGGCTTGGGCTCCTCCGCCACTGGCGCCATCGTCATGGAGCGAGGAGTTCCATCGGCCCTTCCCTGCCTGAGGGGGGGGAGGGAGAGAGACTCTCGCCCATGCTGCCCGCGAGCCTGGAGGCGGCAGCGGTGGTGGCAGCTGAGGAGGCGGCCTGAGGGAGGAGGAAGAGGAGGGGATGGGGAGGGACGCAGAAGGGCAGCGCTTCAGCGGCCGCCGCAACCGCCTCATACGGGATTGACAGCATCTATCAATCCTACCAATGTATGTAACTCTTTACAATAGCAAAATCCCTTATTTGGGCTGCTGATCCCTTATTTTCGAGGCTGCTGGCCCCTTATTTTCAAATCTGTAAGTTGACAGCTATGCAACCATCTGATCTTTGGCACTGTGTGAAGGGCTGGGCAAGCACCAGCAAAACTTCTTTTGGCCCAGCTATGCCTCTTCACCTGTCCCACACGTGATGTCATAGATTACATCAGCTGTGGGGCAGGTGGGCATGGCTAGTTAGGCCCTGCAAGCTCAGTTGGTTCCCCACCGGCTTTTGACCTATGCTATAAACCAACAAGTTGCCATGGTGTTCTCCAAAGGAACCTGCAAAATCACCTTACCTCATATCCACCCACTGGACTGCTCTGATCAGTTGAACTGGCAGTGTTTCATGGGGCCCCATAATACCTGTGTTTCATGGGGCCCCATAATACCTGTGTTTCATGGGGCCCCATAATACCTGTTCCTATTAGTAAGAACCTTTTCGTGGCGTAGCACCAACACTTTGGAACTCCCTGCCTAATGATACCAGACAGGCACCTTCACCGTACGCTTTTCAGCACCTGCTAAAAGCATAATTGTTTAGGCAACCTACCCAGATGTTTAGAAAGTTGATGCAGATCTTAATCTGTTTTCTGTCTATTGTTATTTTAACTTTTTTGAACGTATTAATTTTTTCATTTTTCTTAGTGATGAGTTCGTTGTCTTATCTTTTTCATAAGCAGCTTTGTTGTTGTTTTTTTTACACTCAAGTGGTCTGTATACTTTATGAAATAAATAAATAAACATATGGAAATATTTCTGACGGGTGCCAAAAAGAATACAGGGAAGATCGCTGCCTGATATGAATAGGGAGGGAGTTCCAGAGTGCAAAAGATTATTATTTTTTTCAGTTCCAGCCCTAGATGGTTCAGAAATGATCCCTGGGTGGGTCCCAAACTCTTTACGTTCATGTTTCTCCATGGTGAGCCAAAGCGTCAATTGTAACCCTTGTGTTCCCTTCTTCCAGCCCCCAGCTGAGGATGTCCTTTATTGTTTTCTCAACCAGAGGCTCAACTCTGATGAGACTCACTGAAGACAGGTAAGAGGAAGCCGGGAAGGCAAGGCTGGTGGTGGGCTGCAAAAGGTCTGAGGCTTGTGCATCGTGCACACCTGGCTTTGCAAGGCCAGGAGCAAACATAGAATCATAGAATCATAGAATCATAGAGTTGGAAGAGACCACAAGGGCCATCGAGTCCAACCCCCTGCCAAGCAGGAAACACCATCAGAGCACTCCTGACATATGGTTGTCAAGCCTCTGCTTAAAGACCTCCAAAGAAGGAGACTCCACCACACTCCTTGGCAGCAAATTCCACTGTCGAACAGCTCTTACTGTCAGGAAGTTCTTCCTAATGTTTAGGTGGAATCTTCTTTCTTGTAGTTTGGATCCATTGCTCCGTGTCCGCTTCTCTGGAGCAGCAGAAAACAACCTTTCTCCCTCCTCTATGTGACATCCTTTTATATATTTGAACATGGCTATCATATCACCCCTTAACCTCCTCTTCTCCAGGCTAAACATGCCCAGCTCCCTTAGCCGTTCCTCATAAGGCATCATTTCCAGGCCTTTGACCATTTTGGTTGCCCTCCTCTGGACACGTTCCAGTTTGTCAGTGTCCTCCTTGAACTGTGGTGCCCAGAACTGGACACAGTACTCCAGGTGAGGTCTGACCAGAGCAGAATACAGTGGCACTATTACTTCCCTTGATCTAGATGCTAAAATGAAGCCCTGGGTTTGACATGACCATGTTGTGGACGTCTAAAGAAGTTGGAAGATCCAGGGCAGATGAAAGAAGGGATTTCTTCACACAGTGCAGAGTTAAACTATGGAACTCGCTCCAACAGGAGGCAGTGATGGCCACCAATCTAGATGGCTTTAAAAGAAGATAAGACGAATTCATGGAAGAGAAGGCTATCAAGGCCTACTAGCCGTCATGGTCAGAGGCAGCACTGCTTTTGAGTAACAGTTGCTGGAAACTGCAGCAGGGAAGAGAGCTGCTCTCTTGTCTCGAACCCTGCTTGCTGGTTAGCCACTTTGAGAAGACTAGGTGGGCCATTGAGCTGACCCAACAGATTCTTCTTTTGTTCTGATGACAGTGAGCGTTCAGTTCTGATGGGATGCTTGCGAGGTCTGGTGCCGAATCTTACAGCCCTGGGTTTGACTTCATATCCCTGTTCTGATTTTGGAACCCGTGTGCCTCTGGGGTTTGAAAACCTGCAAAGCGTTTCTTTTTAAAGACTGCCGTGCTCCAAAAGCCCTCCAGCACCTTGTCATGGAATATATTGGGGTCCTGGGATGGTGCTGGTGGGATTTGCTGCATTCTTGAAAAAAAACCTAAAAGCTAGCCTTGAGAAAATGCCAGCTGGAATGAGGAGGCTGGTTCTTGTGCACAATAATGACACAACTGGGGTTTTAAGGCTGTATCCTTGAAGGATTTCTGACAGTACTTCCTGACAGTAAGAGCTGTTCGACAGTGGAATTTGCTGCCAAGGAGTGTGGTGGAGTCTCCTTCTTTGGAGGTCTTTAAGCAGAGGCTTGACAACCAAATGTCAGGAGTGCTCTGATGGTGTTTCCTGCTTGGCAGGGGGTTGGACTCGATGGCCCTTGTGGTCTCTTCCAACTCTATGATTCTATGATTCTATGATTTCTTTAAAAGCCAACTTACAACAACAACAACTACAACATCTACAACAACTACAACAACAACAAGTTTATTAAATTTGTGAGGTCCATGCCTTTACACAAAATACCATAAAACATTATGAAAAGATAAACAATAAAATTATAAAAGTAAGCTAAAATTCATGCCATGCTGTCCCAGCAAGGAAACTACCCAAAAAAACCCACCATTCAGGAAAGAAGATACAGCAACGGGTTAGGAGATCAATGGGAGGGACCTCACCGTTTCATCCAGGAACCATACCCTAGTTTTCATAGCCTTCACCACAAAGACCGCTACCACGTGAGAAATCCGTGGATCAGCGTCCACCAGTAAAAACTTTACTTGGTCCTCAGAGTTGGCTATTGATTTAGGAATAGTTTGTAACATCGCATCCCTGAAGGCCGAATAGATGGGACAATACAACATGTAAAAGCCAACTTAAAATGATGTGGAACGTGCCCCGAGTGCTACAATCAGCCCAATTAAAGTTTCCATAGAATAAATCATAACAAGGCAACTTGTGGGAGAAACGCTTTTCGCTATCCTCTTTCTCTGTGCCACGTGTAGTTTTATTTTATATTGATGGTATTCTTTTCCCGGGGGACACTCCCCAAAGTCCCCAAAATACACCTGAAATTGTTAAGCCTTCCCGCCTCATTAACATGATGGTGCTTCTCATCAAGTAAGGAATTAAACAGATAATATTACTGTGAAACGCTAACCATTCAGCTGGAATCTCCCTGGAAAACCAAACCCTTTGCACTAATTGTGAACTTAAGAAATGGGAATTTGTCAACAAATGTGCACTGCCTGTTGGGTTTTGTGAAGACCCCCTCCCCGTGTGTTGGCTGAACTGGCAATCTCCTTCCCATGGAGATACCAGCAGCATGAGTTCATTCGGAGATAGTCTGAGGACCACAGAGGCGTTATCTTGGCTTGAAAGCCTTCCGAACTCCACTTGGCTCCTTCGAGTCAGTTTTCACAGCTGAGTGAAACACCACAGAGCCCACCCTGCTCAGCCTGTTTTTAATCTGTCTGTGTGCCTGCGTTTTGGAAAGATTAAATTGGATGTCCAGGACTTTTAAAAGTCTTTCCCATGAACTCATTAATCTTGAAGTTGGTTTGGATGGAGGAAGAGGGTGGCTACTTTCACATAAATCTGGAGCCTGAAGATTAGACTCTCGTAATACTAGAGATCGTGGACGTCCAGTGAAGATTCAGGACAGGTAAAAGGAAGTCCCTTTTCACGCAGTGCATAGTTCAACTATGGAACTCCCTCCTGCAGGAATCAGTGACGGATCTGTTTAACTTCCACAGCTTATAACAATTGCTTTCTCCATTTGCCTTGAGTTAGACTGATTTCCACCCAGTAATTTAGCAAAGGCGGCGGGTGGGTGGGTGTGGAATCCATACCCCTGGGCCACCCCCACACAATGCCCTGCCATACTCTTTTTCCTCTTTCTGAAGCCAAGTAGAATTGTCTGCTAAGCTATAGATATGTTACACCAGGGACGTCCAACTCCCAAGAGACTGCGATCTACTCACAGTGTAAAAAGACTGGCAGTGATCTACCCATTGTCTTCGGATGGATCAAAGTTGTGGGCTTTTTATGGGAAGCCAAAGTTGTTCAGCTTTTTTTTAGGAAGCAAACGAATGAAGGAAATGTAAAGTTTTATCTCTCTGACTATGATATATGCAGCTATACATTGTTACAAGTATATGAATGAAGGAAGGAGGGAAATGGAATATATGAATGAATGAAACTGAGTGAGCATTGTGATATACACAGAACATAATCGATTATATAAAACACAGTTTAGGATCCTGAATCCACAGTCAAATAGTGGACCTTAACCTGATGGTCAACTTTTTGGCTAGGAACCAAAAGTTGCTGAGATTTTTTGGGACAGGCAAAGTTGTTCAGCTTTTCTTCAGAAGCCAGAGTGGTTGAACTTTTTTTTATGAACCAGTAGTTGTTGAGATTTTTTTCCCCTTCTTTCCCTTTTTTCCTTTTTATTTTTTGGGGGAAGGAGATCCCTGAGAGACCGGAGATCTACCAGGAACACCCCCGCGATCTACCAGTAGATCGTGATCTGCCTGTTGGATGTGCCTGTGTTACACAATGCGATTTATAAAATCTAGCTATATAAACTTCATTGATTCATCAAAATATTGTGAGCAAGAAGGTCCGGCTGCTTAAATTCTGTGTAACATGAAGGCGAGGACTGGCTGGGAGGGACAGAATAAAGAACTACAGAACCATAGAATTGTCGAATTCGAAGGCCACCTTGCCCAACCCCCGGCAACGCAGGAATACTTACGAGGTGTTCAAGAAACTGGTCCTGAGCACAGCTTGGGCCCCAGGATACAGTCTGAGGTGCACCTAGGAAACTACCACCTTGTGGAAACTAATCAGGTCTGGTCAGTACCTGGAAGGGAGACTGTTCAGTGAATATATCTACATTCTCTTATGTTTCATTGATAGTAGAAAGGCAGGATATTGATGTAAGAAAATGTATTACAAAAATGAAAAGAACATGCTTGACATAAGTTTATTTATTTATAAAAATATTTGCATGCTGCTGTGTCATAAAATATGCATACTGTATAAGCAGTTTGCAGCAATAAAAACAAACAAACAAAATACAGTAAAACCATAAAAGTTAAAAGCAGATATCAATTTACTATTGTGAATGATGTATACTTACCCCAATTGCCTGAATTGGCCTGGCGAAATAGAAAGGTTTTCCGCAGGAGCTTAAAGATGGCACAAAAGTTGAGTTGGCTAAATTCAGCATCTAAAAATGTGTCCCCTGTTTCAACTGCATTGGATTTCATTTCGAATATAGTTTGGAACGGGCAGATCTAAAATCTTTATATCTGAATGTTATTCCTTGTGCACCAATTTTATCCATAGCGAGTTGACTTTCCCTCAGCGGAGATGTTGTGTTCTGCTCTTTCAGGGAGCAGATCCGTCAAGGCTTGGAGGAGCTCCAGAAGGTCTTGCCAGGAGGAGACACATACATGCACGAAGGCTTCGAGAGGGTAAATCGCAAACCGCACCAGCATGACACTTGCTCCCAATCCCACTGTGGGTGGGCAGAGGGTGGATCAGGCCCGAAACATTGCTGTTTCCAAATATGGCCCCTTATTCTTCTCACGTTCTTCTTTATGGTTCTGATGGTCATTTTTGTTTCTCTTTCAGGCAAGTGAGCAAATTTACCATGAAAATGTTCAAGGTAAGAATGAGTTTGGGGGTCTCTAAATGAAAGCCTAGGGCTTGCCAATCAGAAGGTTGGCAGTTTGAATCCCCGCGACGGGGTGAGCTCCCGTTGCTCGGTCCCTGCTACTGCCAACCTAGCAGTTTGAAAGCACGTCAAAGTGCAAGTAGATAAATAGGTACCGCTCCAGCGGGAAGGTAAACGGTGTTTCCGTGTGCTGCTCTGGTTCACCAGAAGTGGCTTAGTCATGCTGGCCACATGACCTGGAAGCTGTATGCCGGCTCCCTTGGCCAATAAAGCGAGATGAGCGCTGCAACCCCAGAGTCGTGTGCGACTGGACCTAACGGTTAGGGGTCCATTTAGCTGTACCTTAAATGGAAGTTGCTTTATTGTCCTGTAAGTAATGGATGGATAGTACCTGCCTCTTCTGCTGTGGAAAATGTCAGATTTAGATCCCTACCCTTGAACTGACTTGCTCAAAAAGGGAACCTAAAGAATAATAATAATAATAATAATAATAATAATAATAATAATAATAATAATAATAATAATTTATTTATACCCCGCCCATCTGGCTGGGCCTCCCCAGCCACTCTGGGCGGCTTCCATAGAAACCAAAAATACAGTAAAATATCACACGTTAAAAACTTCCCTGAACAGGGCTGCCTTAAGATGTCTTCTGAATGTCAGGTAGTTGTTTATCGCTTTGACATCTGCTGGAAGGGCGTTCCACAGGGCGGGCGCCACTACCGGGAAAGCCCTCTGCCTGGTTCCCTGTAGCTTTGCTTCTCGCAATGAGGGAACCGCCAGAAGGCCCTCGGTGCTGGACCTCAGTGTCCGGGCAGAATGATGGGGGTGGAGACGCTCCTTCAGGTATACTGGACCGAGGCCGTTTAGGGCTTTAAAGGTCAGCACCAACACTTTGAATTGTGCTCGGAAACGTACTGGGAGCCAATGTAGGTCTTTCAAGACCGGTGTTATATGGTCTCGGCGGCCGCCCCCAGTCACCAGTCTAGCTGCCGCATTCTGGATTAAGAACTGAGGCCAACAGCAGTAACAAGTCTCCAGGCCTTATTGACATATTAAAAGCCAACCTATTGCTGGGTCTAGTTATGGGATCAGCCTGAGAGTTCTTAAGCAACTGGAATGTGAGTCTGTGATTTGTCCCTAAGATCAGCTTTTATACCTGGGGACTGGGAAGGACTTGCTCTGAGTTTACCATTTGTTCTAAAACAGTTTATAGAATTAAAGGATTGCAGTTAGAAGGGATCCCGAGCCTCATCTAGTCCAACTGCCAGCAATGCGAGAGTTACAGATAAAGAATCCATCTAACCTTTGCTGAAAAACTTCCAATGAAGGAGAGTGACAAAGCTCACAGTTCAAGACTCAGTCGCCAAAACGGCGTTTGATGGCCTAGAGCAGGCATAGGCAAACTCAGCCCTCCAGATGTTTTGAGACTACAGTTCCCATCATCCCTGACCACTGGTCCTGTTAGCTAGGGATGATGGGAGTTGTAGTCCCAAAACATTTAGAGGGCCAAGTTTGCCTATGCCTGACCGTGAGTTTAAAATGGAGGAGCAGCCAAGCAAGCGTGTAGGAAGAATTTCTGCTTAAGTGGGGTCCTGGATAATGAGAAAGAGTGGGGAGACATGTCTAGGTTTCTTACTGAATAACTAGTGTAAACTTGGGGTTTCCACTTTTGATCCAGGAACTGAGCAGGCAGCACAGGAGTCCTGGCCAGAGATACTGCACTAATAAACTGACCTGAGATATTCGTGATTTGATTTGAATATTATCACGTTAAGGAGTTGGTTTTTAAAGCCCTTCACAATTTGAGAACTGAAGTCTGGCAAAGTAAGTTTTAGATGGCCCCAATCCTCTTGGGTGCTACTTTTTTTTCAACTGCTTTCCTCAACTGCCCCAGAAAGCAGCTGAACCCAAGACTAGCAGAGTATCTAAACTGATTTTTCATTCTCTCCAGCAATGTGGCAATTAAAAAAAAAATCTGCTCTTGGGTCTTTTTTGGGGGGAGAGCACTCTAACCATAAGGTATTTTAAAGAGGCTGTTAATTACTAGGGCTTTTGCTTTTTTCTCCCTTGCAGGTAGAAGTCTTGCGATTATATTTAGCTTTGACAAGTGCAAAATGTCATCTTTAGCATGTAATCCATGATTTCAGAGGCCTCTCAGATTTATTGCAAGGAGCTGCCGGCAACCATCCAAATTACCTTTAATTGGTTCTGCTTCATGATGGTTGTGTGCTTTTCGGTTGATCCCGATGACAAGCCTGGGCCGGGCTTAAGAGCGAGATAACAATCTCCTTGGGAGAAGAATGCATTTTGGCAGGCGGTGCTGCAATCTAGATGATAATATGCTTGGCTCTTCTACTTTACAAGCAATTCTGTCATAGTGGGGCCAGCTCCCAAATAGGTCCAGGGTTCATGAACCTTCCAGAGCATCATTTGCACCCGGGTCCAAACTCTACAGGGTGGAGGGCACAGCAGCAACCATTGATTCAGTGTTTATTATTTATAGCATTTATACCCCACCTTTTTCTCCAAGGAGCTCAAGATGGTGAACATGGTTGTCCCCCTCCTCATTTAAACCCACAACAGCCCTGTGAGGCTGTGGAGCGATATTGTGACTGGCTCCAGGGCCACCTAGTGAGATACAACATAACTGAGTGGGGATTTGAACCCTGGTCTCCTAGGCCCTAGTCCAACACCTTAACCACTATGCCACACTGGCTCTGGCATGGCTCCAACTCTCCCTTCCTCACCCTAAAAGGTAAAGATAAAGGGACCCCTGAGTGTACTCGAGTGTAGGCTGAACTCCTAACAAGAACTTGTCTCATGGCATGCTGACGTCACACTCTTATGCATTACCTTCTTCGTAATTGACTGACAGTGACAGAAGGTGGGGAAATGCAGGATGTGGACCCCTGGCAGAGCATAAGGCTCAGACCCTGCCACCTTCAGGCAGGTCTGGCTAATATTCCTGATTGAAGCACTGTCAACTAGTGTGGACAATCCTGAGCCAGCTGGATCTCTTTGCATGCCAAAGATCCCATCTTCCGTCCCTGGCATCTGCAGCCAGAGCTGGAAAAGCCTCTCTGTCTGAAATCCTGAAGAGCAGCTGCTGCCACTCTGTGAAGACAGCTCTGAGCTGGAAGGACCAGTGATCTGACCTGGGAGAAGGCAGCTCCCTGTGTTACTGCCATGTCATGGCATGAGGCACATCTTCTTAGATGTCATGGATGGGATGGAGGAGCCAGATTCTGTGGCTTGTTCTGGAGGCAGCTGCACATTTGCTGCCATGCTTGGTTTGGTCCTTGGGCAGAAACATGTGATGCTATGTTTAAGTCAACACCTAAGGCAGGCATAGGCAAACTCAGCCCTCCAGGTGTTTTGAGACTACAGTTCCCATCATCCCTGACCTCTGGTCCTGTTAGCTAGGGATGATGGGAGTTATAGTCCCAAAACATCGGGAGGGCCGAGTTTGCCTATGCCTGGCTTAAGGTGTAAACGGTAGCTGTGCCAAAGAGGCATTTGGAAGAATCTGTAATGTACAGGGATGTATCAGAGACCCACAACAGACTGTGCCCCCTTGCTGTGTGTTTGCTTGGTTGCAAATCCAAGTCTGTTGCTATATACTGTTCAGTAATGGTTGGAAAGGCACAGATACCAGCCGTAATTCTTCTGTTGTAGCCTGAACAGCACAATAATGCTGTAGAGCAAGTCTGACTAGAGAAGAAGCAGGACAAAAGTTTAATGTACATGCTCCATGGGCTACAACGGCACTCTTAGAACACCTGCTAACACTGGTGAAAGAACCAGCCATTGCTTAGCCAAACTTACCTTTTGCGCCACACTTTCTAGGCAGAGATCCGTGCTTTAAAACTCCATGTCCAAGTGCTTTTTTTTTTTTTTGCATCAGAGTTTTCCCTCCTGCATTTCAGGGGGTTGGACTAGATGACCATCAGAGGTCCCTTCCGACTTCACAGTTCTGTGATTCTATGATTCCATGCATCCACATGCTGTTTGATAATGCTCCACTTCATCTCCTCACTCACCATATTAATGGAACGGCTTTCCTCTCTTCAGGTTATAGGACGGCGAGTGTCATCATTGCACTGACAGACGGAGAGCTTCACGAGGACCTTTTCTTCTATGCAGAAAGAGAGGTAAATGGGATGGCTTGAAAATCAATGGGAAGATGAGGGTGTGGGCGCCTGGCTCCCCATACCTGCCTGTTCAGTCAAAGGTGGGTTTTGTCAGCAGGGAAAGTCTTTGTCTTGCCTTCAATGAAGCTGTGTGAGCCAAATAACCTGCTTATGTGGGTCATGTATGGTTCTTGAATATGTGGAGTCTATATTTCTTCTGATCACATACAGAAGACCTTGCCCTTTCTCCCTACTAATGCCAACCTGCCTTCACACAACTGATGCAAGTGGCGTTGTGGCCTCTTGGGCTTGCCAATCAGAAGGTTGGCGGTTTGAATCCACACAACGGGGTGAGCTTCTGTTGCTCTGTCCCAGCTTCTGCCAACCCAGCAGTTCGAAAGCACACCAGTGCAAGTAGATAAATAGGTACTGCTGTGGTAGGAAGGTAAACGGTGTTTCTGTGTGCTCTGGTTTTCGTCATGGTGTTCCGTTGTGCCAGAAGTGGTTTAGTCATGCTGGCCACATGACCTAGAAAGCTGTTTGTGGACAAAAGTCGGCTCCTTCGGCCTGAAAGCAAGATGAACGCCGCAACCCCATAGTCGCCTTTGACTGGACTTAACCGTCCATGGGTCCTTTACCTTTTTTTACCTTTTACCTGCACACACCAAATTTTAGGGAGCACAGCTTCCGCATCAGAGGCAAGGCAGTCTGGACAGATGCGATTCCTGGCCTCTTCTATAGATGTCAAGCTCTTTGCCTGACCAGCCTTGCTGTGGAGAAGGAGGGAGTGGTATATGCTGGCTGTTCAGTTCTGTGGTCATGGCCCTTGCCATTTCACAGAGGAAGGGTTGAGACTGAGCGACCGATCCCAGTACACCCATCTTTTAGAAACCCTCATACTAAAATGCTCCTCCCATCACGATGCAGGGTTGCTGCAGACAGCTTCTCAAACGCATCTCCCTGTGCTTGCAAGAGATCGCATAAGTGAACCTGTATGGTTGGGTGTTAGCAAAACCAAGTGTCCACGAGGAAATTAAGGGGCCACCATGTAAACAGCAGAGGCAGCCCAGAGGGGTTTCTCCTACCCAGTCCATAGCCACATCTCAGCTGGGATTTGAAAGTTCAAATGCATCCCATCCAAACCACATGTAGCATTTGACCCATCCGTCTAGACCACACTGGCTTCCACTGACCGCCTCCAAGAATCAGCCTGGCTTACCAACACCCAGTTTCATCCAAAACCCTGTTCTTAGCCATGTTCCTTTACAACCCCTATTCTTATTAAAAACCCAAGAAAAGGCACAGCCTTTATCTCCCTTCTCCGTGCAGATGAAAAACCAACATTTTATCTCTCTCCAGGTTTTTCAGAAAAGCAAATAACCCCTTTCTTTGAGACAACTCGTTCATTAATCTTGTTTTGCCTCAGGAGACAGTGAGCTATCAGGTTCTGTGAGACCGATGGCATATCTTTGCACCCATAAAGATCATGTTTTGCCTGTCTGACTCTGTCTGCCTGGTGATCAAAACTGGCATGTGTTTTAAGCAAGCCTGACAGCAAGACTTTTGATTCCTTTCTGGAGACTCAGGCAGACAAGGGGAAATTTGTCCAGACAAGCTGGAAGCCACAGACTGACAGTTCAGAGGTCTGTCTCATAGATAGATGCATGTGACAAAATGACTGCAGAGTTCACCTAAAATTGCACCTCATTTGGGGAAAGAATAAGAAAATGGAAACAGATCTGTTAGCTTTTCTATGTGCAGGGCCCTTGGCAACCATCAAGGAGTAGGAACGGGATCTGACCCCCAAATGAGAGGGTCCCTTGATGTGGAGCGTTGTGAGACCATCATGCCATGTGTCTCCCTGGTGCGATTTTAAAATTTAAATTGAAAAGTAGCATGTAAGTTTTCTTAAAAACTAAGAGAGCTGGCTTGGCACCCATCCTGTGCCATCTGTTTGGAATCAAGCCCAGGTGTCCTGAAAGAAAGGGCAGGTAGCAGATCAGAGTGTGGGAGGGGCTGAGAGAAAAACCACATTTGAGCTTCATACATTCAGCCATTTATTACATTTATATCCCAGCTATCCTCCAGGGAGCCCAAAGGTGGCCTGCATGCAGTGCCCCACCCTCACAACAAACAGGCAATGAAGGTTAGGCTGAGAGGCAGTGTCTGGCCTAAGGTCACCTGGTGAGCAGAGGTCCTTGTCTCTCCCCAGTCCTAGCCCAGCACTCTTAACCACCACACCAGGCTAGCTCTTAAATCCACTAGCTCCTAATCCACTTTCCCCTCCATTCGGGTTAGACTGGCATAGTCCACACTCACATGAATTTGCACATGAGGACTCTTTCCTGTTCATGCCAGGAGTTAAAGAGTCCATCCCCTGAATTCTGCTAGAGTTTCATTATTTTTTTAAAAATAATATTTATTAAAGTTTCAAACAAAATTACAATAATACAAAAAAGAAAAAAAGAAAAAAGAAAATACAAAAAAGAGAAAAAATAGAATAACAATTAAAAACAAATCAGTCTTTCCATATCTTGTCTTTCGTTCACTTGTTTCCCTGACCTCCTCACACCTCCCTTTTTTGCATTCCAGTTCAGTTAATTAATTCAGCAAATCCTTTCCCTCTTTGTTCTTATCTTAATCCTTTATCTTAGTATATTATTACTTCAGATTCCCATCTATTAACAATCCATTTTTACATAGACCTTAATAACATTGCTGCTAAAACCACATAACTTCATTCCAACATCATTCTAACATTCATTAATTTTGCAATATTTCTGTAAATAGTCTTTAAATTTCTTCCAATCTTCTTCCACCGACTCTTCTCCCTGGTCTCGGATTCTGCCGGTCATCTCCGCCAGTTCCATATAGTCCATCACCTTCATCTGCCATTCTTCCAGTGTGGGTAGATCTTGTGTCTTCCAATACTTTGCAATAAGTATTCTCGCTGCTGTTGTAGCATACATAAAGAAAGTTCTATCCTTCTTTGGCACCAATTGGCCGACAATGCCCAGGAGAAAGGCCTCTGAATTCTGCTAGAGTTTCAAACTGTCTTCAAAAGCAGTAATCTTTCATGTTGCAGTAATCTAACCTAGAGGTCACCTGAGCATGGATTGCTGAACCCAGGTTATCCTCATTCACTTGATGGGTGGTCCCATATTTTAGGGCTCATCCGGACTTCCTTTGGTGTTAGATTTCTAGGCACATGTCTGCACTTCTTGTCCAAGCACAGATGTGTTTGGGTTGTTGTTCTTTTTGTTCCAGTGCTTTCCCTGGGAAAACCTCCATTTCACTGCTGAATCAGAGCAAATACTACTCGTACTAATTAATAATAATAATAATAATAATAATAATAATAATAATAATAATAATAATAATAATAATAATTTTATTATTATTTATACCCTGCCCATCTGGCTGGGTTTCCCCAGCCACTCTGGGCGGCTTTCAGCAAAATATTAAAATACAATAATTCATCAAATATTAAAAGCTTCCCTAAACAGGGCTGCCTTCAGATGTCTTCTAAAAGTCAGATACAGTGGTACTTTGGGTTACATACACTTCAGGTTACAGACTCCACTAACCCAGAAATAGTACCTCAGGTTAAGAACTTTGCTTCAGGATGAGAACGGAAATCGTGCTCTGGTGGTGCAGCGGCAGCGGGAGGCCCCATTAGTTAAAGTGGTGCTTCGGGTTAAGAACAGACCTCCATAACAAATTAAATTCTTAACCCGAGGTACCACTGTAGTTGTTTATTTCCTTAACATCTGGTGGGAGGGCGGTTCCACAGGGCAGGTGCCACTGCCGAGAAGGCCCTCTGCCTGGTTCCCTGTCACCTCCCTTCTCATAATGAGGGAACTGCCAGAAGGACCTCAGTGTCTGGGCTGAACGATGGGGGTGGAGACGCTCCTTCAGGTATACAGGACCGAGGCCGTTTAGGGCTTTAGGGGTCAGCACCAGCACTTTGAATTGTGCCCAGAAACGTCCTCGGAAAATCAGTGGAAAATCCAATTGCCATTTGCTCCAATTCAGTGGTAAAACACAGGACCTCTGATCCCTCAGGCTGTGCTGAATGGCCACGAATGGCAAATGCATCTTTGGCAATCAGGCCACAGACTGCGGTATCTATTCCTAGTCAGAGAAAGCAGCCTGGCCAAACCAATCCCAATTCCTCAGTAACAGGATAAGACAACTGGATGTACTCCATGCACAACATCCCCCTCCCTGGATTTGATTTGATTTCTTTTGCAGTGGGTGGAGTTGGGAGTTCAGGCCAGTGGTTGTCATAACTGGGAGACCACCCTCCTCCCTGCATGAATGTTGCAACAAACCACCCCCCTGCTGTTTAAACACACAAAAGGAAGCAAAAGCTTTAGGGTAGCTGAGCCAGGTTTTTCGGAGCTTTAAGAGGGAGCTTGGGACGCGGGTGGCGCTGTGGTCTAAACCACTGAGCCTAGGGCTTGCCGATTGGAAGGCCTGTTGCTCGGTCCCTGCTCCTGCCAACCTAGCAGTTCGAAAGCACGTCAAAGTGCAAGTAGATAAATAGGTACTGCTCCAGCGGGAAGGTAAACGGCGTTTCCGTGCGCTGCTCTGGTTTCGCCAGAGGCGGCTTAGTCATGCTGGTCACATGACCGGGAAGCTTAGTCACATGACCCGGAAGCTGTCTGCGGTCAAAGGCCGGCTCCCTTGGCCAATAAAGCGAGATGAGCGCCGCAACCCCAGAGTCATTTGTAACTGGGCTTAATTGTCAGGGGTCTCTTTTCCTTTGAGAGGGAGCTTAGCAGGCAAAAGAGTCAGTGATACAGAGCCGTTATTTCTCCAGTACATCCCAGGTCAGAGTGACATGTCATTAGTTGGGTAGTCTCCAGTGCGTTGTTTTATTGACTCTTAACAGGATTTTGATAGTTGAATCGGGCTGATCTACTCAAGGGCAAGAGAGATGCTGTATATCAGGCAGCCTGATGAAATGCAATGCTGTGATGGTGTGAAAAGTTGGAATTGTTCTGACCAGAAGCTGGAGGGAATTATTAACTGGAATGGAAATGTGGAGGTGGTGGTGAGGTTTCCCTCACATCCCCAGTAAAAGTAGAATTTTGAGCCTTGAACACCCAAATGGAAAGATTCCTTTTGTGGAATGAAAATTAAGGTAGTCCAGCAATAAAAATAAGTGATGATAATAAAACTTGGGCGGAAATAAATTTGCATTTGCAAGAAGCAGGTCCACTAGCTAGATCTGAATCCCCCCCCCCTTCTTCTTTTGTCTCTTATTTCAATCACACTGTTTTTTGTTTGTTATTATTCTGGCCCTGATTTTTTGTTATGTTATCATTTGTTTTATGACAAGTCAGCTTGGGATCCTCTTCTGGGACTGAAAGGGGGCATATAAATTTTCTTCTAAAACGAAATACATCAGTTCTGAGAGTATAGCATTCATCCTTAATAATTCAAATGTTATCAGTTAAAGTTCAGGAGGTGACTGGCTTCTGTATCTGCTCTCTGGTGAGCCAGGGCCTGGAAGCATATTCTTGCTTTGGAAGCTCCTGGGCAAATGGATCAGGTCCAGCTTACTGGTTGGCAGTGGGCAGCCCAGTGTGATGTAGTGGTTAGTGTTATGTACTGAAGTTCTCACCCTGGGCCAGCAGGGGAATACTGTAGATAGTTATGCAAATGAAGGATCGAAAGTGACGTTCAGTGATTGGATAGTTTGTATGCAAATGAAGGATTGAAAGTGACATTCAGTGATTGGATAGTTTTAGAAAATGGCAACAGTTACATTGTTCTGTATAAGCAGGCTGACTGAGCTCCTCAGGCAGTTCTGTTCCAGCTTACAAATAAAGAGCTGCTTTGGAAGAATCGCTGTGTCGTCTGCTATGTCTTCCCACAACTTAACAGTTAGAGTGCTGGGCTAGGATCTAGGAGGGACCAGGATTCAAATCCCCACCCAGCCATGAAATTCACTGGGTGATCTTGAGCTACTCACTCACTCTCAGCCTAGCCCACCTCTGGGGAGAAGCTGCAGTATGTATGCGCCTTGAACTCCTTGAAATATAAATGTATGAAGGCCTTCTGGGAAATGATACACAATGAGCTAAAAAAGGTATTTAGGTATACCTTTCCCAAGAAACCAGAGGCCTTCCTTCTGGGCATGGTGGACCAGAAAGTGTTAAAGAAGGATAGAACTTTGTTTATGTATGCAACTACAGCAGCAAGAATTCTCATTGCAAAGCACTGGAAGACACCAGATTTACCCACGCTGGAAGAATGGCAGACGCAGTTGATGGACTACATGGAACTGGCTGAAATGACTGGCAGAATCCGTGATTTGGGAGAAGAAATAATGGAGGAGGACTGGAAAAAATTTAAGGACTATCTGCAAAAACATTATAAGTTGTATGAATGTTAAGAATGTGTACGATTAGGAAACTTTTGCTTCAGCAACTTGAACAGGTGAATTGGAAATTAAGTTATAAGAAAGATGAGGTAGACAACATGAAGTAACCATACTATGTTTATTTATAGGGTACAAATAACTGAGATACAGTATTTTAAATTTGGAAACATAGTATTTGAAAGATACAGTAAGACATGAAATAAGGTAACAAATTGCTGATGTTACAATTGCAAAGAACGCAGAATTCGGAAGATGTGGGGAAGTCCGATTGGAATTGTTAAAGTATTTTGGAAAGTTGGAATTTATGTATACTTTCTTTTTCTTACTTTTACTTTCTACTTTTTATTCTGTAAATTTCTGAATATCTGAAAGAAAACTTAATAAAATATTTAAAAAAGAAAAGAAAAAAAGAAATATAAATGTAAAGGTGGAATATAAATGAAAAATGATATGGCGATGGCAGAAGCACCAGTCAAAAGGCTGGACTCCTCTGGGCCTGCCATTTTCATTTGGGGAAACTAAAGCTCAATACCTCCCTGTTGGCTATCATGGGAAAACTTCTTTCCCCCTTTTGACAGAAGTGGATGAAATTTGAAGGAAATATCTCTTTTCAATGTCTCCATTCCCTATAACTTTAAGACTCTCTCTTTTCCCTACTGGTGAACTTGTAGACAGACTTGTTAGGCCTTGGCAGGTAAAATGGCTGGATGGTTGAGTGGGTGGGTAGGAGTTAGTCATCACTTCTTTAAGCTCAAACCTGAAGGCAGCCACAAAGTCAAGTCAAGAAAACCATGTTCACATGATTCCGTCTTTAATCTGTGTCAGTAATTATCTATTCTTTATTCTCTTGCTCAAGGCAAACCGATCCCGTGACCTTGGGGCAACTGTGTACTGCGTTGGTGTGAAAGATTTCAATGAAACACAGGTAAGTTCCCAATATACCAGATTTGCACAAAACAGCAGTTTGTGTGTGTGAACTCCATCTTTTATAGGAACATTTTGTAAGAATGCCAGCAGCACCTGCACTTTGGAACTCCCTGCCTATTGAGATCAAGCAGGCGCCTTCGCTGTAATGTTTTTGGCGCCTGCTAAAAACATTATTGTTTAGACAAGCCTACAAGATGTTTAGAAAGTTAACACAAGTTTAATCTTTTGTGAGCCTATTGCTATTTCAACTTTCTGCAGCTTTAATATTATTGTTGTTCATTTTTCTTGGTGATAAGTTTATTCTTTCATCTTTTTTGTAAATGGAGGTTGGGTTTTTTTCCACAGACAAGTGATGAATAAACTTTATGACATAAATAAGAGAGCCAGTGCCACTTATGACATGTTTGCTCAGTTCCACACCTCCATTCTCCACATACAGTGGTGCCCCGCAAGACGAATGCCTCGCAAGACGAAAAACTCGCTAGACGAAAGGGTTTTCCGTTTTTTGAGTCGTTCCGCAAGACGAATTTCCCTATGGGCTTGCTTCGCAAGACGAAACGTCTTGTGAGTTCTTGCGAGTTTGTTTCCTTTTTCGCTAAGCCGCTAATAGCCGCTAAGCCGCTAATAGCCGTGCTTCGCAAGACGAAAAAACCGCAAGACGAAGAGACTCGCGGAACGGATTAATTTCGTCTTGCGAGGCACCACTGTATGGTAATGTTATAAGAATTTTTAGGTCTTATAAACATATAATAAATGTTCACAAATGTACCAAGCGAACACATATATAAATATATAAACCACATGTCTAAAACCCACATGAAAAGTCCTAAAGCCATTTTGACTCTTTCAGTCACCTCAAATATTTCTCTACAAGATTGAAGAAAATGCAGAAACCTCCGCATTGTCTCTGTCCTCACAAATCTTGCCTTAAGAGCACATTTAAGGTATGAATAGGGTGAGCCTGTGACCTGGCTCAGGAATTAAGTATTATCATTACAAAAGGATGGCCAGGCTCCCCAGGTAATCCAGTCAAGTGACCATTAACGGGTAACCTGCCAGACAGGAGATAAACAACGCACTCAGATTTATGTTGTAGACCGCCTTTTCTGTGATGTAGGTATGATGTATCTTGGGGGGGGGGTCTTGGACTCCAGTGCGGGCAATTTAAAATGTCTATATAAGGGCAGGCACACCTTTGTTCTGGGTCCACCTCCTCCCTCCTGCGTGTGAGGGGAGCACCCTGTTGCAACAGCTTTAATAAAGATCAGGCTTACTAGCTACTTTGCTTCTCAATATTCTCTGGTTGGCCTCTGTTATTTTCTCCTACCAATAGAGAACCTACGAAAGGACTCTATATGGGCTCTTGGGTACGCCATAAGGGAAAAGGAGCACAGTTTTATTACTTATAACATAACCATCCTCAAATACCTGAAGGGCTGTAACATTTAAGATGGAACAAGCTTGTTTTCTGCTGCTCCAGAGGGGAGGACCCAAACCAACTGATTCAAATCACAAGAAAGGAGCTTCCAAGTAAATATTAGGAAGAGTTTTCTGAGTCCCCCTGAAGGTGGTGGACTCTGTTGGAGGTTTTTAAACAGAGGTTGGATGGCCAGCTCTCAGGGAGCCTTTTAGCTGTGGATCCTTTAGCAGGGGGTTGGTCTAGATGACCCTTGGGGATCCCTTCCAATTCCAAGAGACTATAAAACAAAAATAAAGCATTTTATGTTTTCGAAGGGGCTGCAAACCCTGCTAAACCCGACTGTGGGACAAAAGAAATCACAGTGCATTGGCCACTGGCACGTTAAAAGCAATCACACGAAAACCACCATTGCCTGTTAGCCACAGCCCATGGGTTGCTTGGCCAAGACTTTGCGTTCAAGTCCTCCTTATGACATTGTTTGCTGACTGCTGACACGTTTGACCCTTTCTGTTGCTGTTCCAGCTGGCACGGATCGCTGACAGCAAAGATCACGTCTTCCCCGTGAATGATGGCTTCGAAGCTCTCCAGGGAATCATTGACTCCGTAAGTATCACTTACCATTGTGTTCATTTTACGACTCTTGTAAAATCACCAGTGTTGTTGCCAGAAACCAGGCATTTATCACTATCCTGACATCCGAGGGCCTCCTCTTCTGTAGTAGCAGGAATGGAACTGAAGGGCTGGACCTGGGTGGGGGGTGGGAATGGGCTTGGATGATGGGCAGGAGATGCCAGAGGCTTGTTTATGGTTAGCAAGTACAAAGCGTGGAAAGGCAATTGCCAAGAGGTCAATGTTTGGGCGAGATGTCTGTGCCTCTCCAAGGGGAAATGGCAGATTCGCTGTTGCAGATGAAGCGCTCCAGTCAGGCTGCAGGGTTGCAAATGCTTCCATTTGGAGTGGAGGCCAGTGGCAGGCAGCGCAATCCTAAGCAAGCCAGCCCACTGAGTGCCTCATAGGATTGCAGCCTTAACTGTGCAAGTGGCGCGATTGAGGTTGTTTCAACCATGATTTAGATCTGTTCTTAGTCTGTGCTTGCGAAGGTGAAGCATGCATGAACAACGGAGCCGGTCAGGAAATCAAATGCAAAAGAGAGCATCGGATCAATTTGTTCGAATAAGGGAATGTGGTTTATTTCTTCTTGTTTATGGCTGGTAGCCTACGAAAAATGTGTGAAACATGGTTGGAACAACATGCAACAACCAGCAACAACATGCATATAATGACATCTGCCTGAAGCACCACCAAGAGCTGGTTTCACATGCCAAATGTCATACTCCCACAGATGTGCCTTAGCGCCTTTGAGTGGATTTATTTTCACAGCGTCAAGGTGTGGATTTCCCAGTTCAGTTGCACAGAAAGGGCAGGTAGACATGAGCCAGGGCTAAATGGACATATCAAGGGATTGCAAACAACTTCTGTGGCGTGTTTGAGCCACAAATTCACTCCCTTGGGAGAGCCTGCCTTCTTGCAAGGCAAGCATTGCAAATTCAGTTTCTAAGCAGATAAGGTAACAAACATCCCAGGCTGCAGCAAGGAAAAGCAAGGTAATAAAACCCTTTAGCAAATTCCTTCACACTTCCTCAAAGACCTTTTGGCTTGCTTTTACAACATGCCTTCCCAACATGGGGGTTTAACACTTAAAAAAACAAAAAAACTGCCTATCCATCAGTCTATACAGATGGATGACCACCTGTCAGGGATTCTTCAGCTGCGATTCCTGCATCGTGGGGGTTGGACTAGATGACCCTTGGTGTCCCTTCAAACTCTACAATTCTATGTTTCTGTACATCAGTATGTTTATCCGGTACATGAGCCTACCTTATTGCAAGGCAAATTGGATCTTGGCCCTCCTCTTCTCTTTCCTAACGTTTGTTTCCAAATTGGACGGGAAGCACCAAATGATGTTGGATCATCAGGTATTGTGAGATTGTAAGAGAGATTTCGTTTGCAGGCTTTCATTCCTTTTGCAGCTGTTCTTAATGGGTTCCAGAAGCAGTTGCCTCTCTGTGTGTGTGTGTGTGTGTGTGTGTGTGTACACACATGTGAAAAATCTGGGCAGAGCTGATTATCCGAGCGCTTTCTGTGCTCCTCCCAACCTTACTAGCAGCAATCAGGTTACCCAAAGGTCGCTGTGAAATGATAAAATCTCATAATGGAGGGATCATGTATGTGTGGTGCAGGCATGGCAAGGAATAGCATTCTATGCGTTGAGGAAAAGCTGTACGTTTCCCCATAAATTGGTTGATTATATCTTTCTGGGCGGTCAGAATCTCAGCACAAGGGATCCGTGGGTGGAGAAGCACAGGAAATAACAGGCAGAGGAGCAGCAGCAGCAGCAAATTGTGGTGCTGGGAGTGGGGGCCAAAACCAGCCCGACGAAAGAGAGAGAGGGTCTAGCAGGGGCTTCATAGGAGCTGCTCCCCTAAAAGAGCTGCTTTCAATGCAGAAAGTAGAAGGAGGGAGACATTCATATGGAGTGTGGTGCAGTGAAATGGTTAGGGTGGATTGGGACCTGGGACATGAAACTCACTGGGTGTGACCCTTAGCCAGTCACTGCCTCTCGGCCTAACCCACCTCCTGGGGTTGTTGTGGGGCTAAAATGGGGAGAAGTACCGTATTTTTCACTCCATAAGATGCACCTGACGATAAGACACACCTAGTTTTTAGAGGAGGAAAACGAGGAAAAAAATATTCTGAATGAAGCAGTGGGTGTATGATTTTTGTGGTTCATGCTGTAGCCACAGACATGATATGTGATTTGACGGTGAGTTTGGGGTAGCCCAATGCAAAAATCCCGAGAATCCATGTGGATCCGTGCTTTGTAACCACATTTTTGCGCCATTGTGGCCCCACGCAACAGTGGATGTGTGATTTTTTTTGGTGCAGGCTGTAGCCATGGACATGCTATGTGATCTGATGGTGAATTTGGGGTGACCCAATGCAAAAATCCTGAGGATCCATGTGCTTTTACCTCCCCCTCTCCCAGGCAGCCTCCTTTATCGCTAGCTTCCCTTATCTCCCTCCTGATCACTTGCCGATCAGCTGCTCAGCGGCTTCATTTCAACACCCCCTTCTGTCTTTCTGCGATCTGTTTTTCGCCCCAGGGCAATTCGTCTCCAGGGACCACACATTCGCTCCATAAGACGCACAGACATCTCCCCTTACTATTTAGGAGGGGAAAAGTGCGTCTTGTGGAGTGAAAAATACAGTATGTACGCCGCCTAATAAATACCGTATTTTTTGCACCATAACACTCACTTTTTTCCTCCTAGAAAGTAAGGGGAAATGTCTGTGCGTGTTATGGAGGGAATGCCTGCGGGTGACGGAGGGGATCTGCTGCAGTCGTGAGCAGAGGATCCATGGTTCCCCTTCCTTCCCTCCTCCATGGCTCGCTTTGAAACAGCAAAGCGGGAGAAGAGCCGCTGAGTGGGGAGGAGAGAGGGACAGAGACCCTGCTTCTTTAAAGGAGCAAAGCGGGAGAGGAGAGGAGCCGCTTACACAAGTGTAAGCGGCTCCTGTCCAGTTGGTTCCTTTAAAGCAAGCAGGCTCTCTGTCCCTCTCTCCTCCCCACTCAGCTCGCTACATAGCAGCAAGGTTTTTCAGCTCACTAAGCCGGGGATGAGCGGGGAGGAGGAAGAAAAGCAGAGCCTGCTTGCTTTAAAGGAGCAAAGTGGGAGAGGAGAGGAGCCTTCTCCCCTTATACCTCTCTTATTCATTATTAGCAGCATCCTTCTCCACCCACCCCACGCATGCTCCTTGTCCCTTGAGTGCTTTTCCTTCCCTCCCCACTTAAAACGTGGTTACAAAGCACGGATCCACATGGATCCTCAGGATTTTTGCACTGGGTCACCCCAAATTCACCATCAGATCACATGGCATGTCCATGGCTACATCTTGCACCAAAAAAAGCACGCACCCACTGTTGCCTGGGGCCGCAGTGGTGCAAAAACGTGGTTACAAAGCATGGATCCACATGGATCCTCAGGATTTTTGCATTGGGCTACCCCAAACTCACCGTGAGATCACATGTCTGTGGCCACAGCATGAACCACAAAAATCATACATCCACTGTTTCGTTTAGAATATTTTTTTCCTTGTTTTCCTCCTCTAAAAACTATGTGCGTGTTATGGTCGGGTGCGTGTTATAGAGCGAAAAATACGATAGAATAAAGTGTGAAATCAATCCCTCTGGCACTCCTGGGTGCATGCTAGATTATATTTATTTATTTTATTGTTATACTGCATTTCTATTCCACCGTTTTCTTCAGTGAGCTCAAGGTGGGGTTCATTGTCGTCCCCCACCCCATCTCATTTAATCCCCACAACAATCCTGCAAGGTTGCTTAGGCTGAGGGCTACATTGACTGGCCCAAGGGAACCCAGTGAGCTTCATGGCTTAATGGGGATTTAAACCCTGGTCTCTCACATCCTAGTCCAACACTCTGACCGCTACACCACACTGGCTGATCACTATACCTCACATTGAGGGCCAAGCTGGCACCGAGGGCAACCCCGAGACAGCCAGCATGGGGCAGTGGTTAGAATCCTGAGCTAGGGTCTGGAAGACCAGGGTTCAAATCCCCACTCGGCCGTGAAGCTCACAGGGTGACCTTGTGCCAGTCACTCACCTCGCTGGGTTGGTTTGGACCTAACCCACCTCACAGGGTTGTTGTGGGGATTAAAGGAGGAGGAAGAGTAGACCCATGCACGCCACCTTTAAGCCTTCTGCAGAAAAAGGCAGGATATGAATGCAATTAATAAACAAACACCCAGCAGATCCCTGCAGTCTGCGAGGGAGTTTCTCCTGCAAGTTGGAAAGATCTCAGATGCCTGCTCCATAGTAACTCAGAGGAGCAGGGCCTTTAGTGTGGCTGCCCCTATTCTGTCCCTGTTCAGATTTGACAGGCGCCCACCACCCACACTTTCCAGAAACAGTTGAAGACATTTTTGCTTCCATAAGCTTTCCCAGCTAGATAAATGGGTCTTTCCCATGTCTGCCCACTTCTCTGGGTTTTAGTCCTATTTTAAATGTATTTGTTGTTTTCTGTGTTTCTGTTTTAAATTATCTGATATGTAAATCACCTTGATGTGGTGGTTTTAGAAGACAACTAATAAATTAACTGCCGTCACCATGGAAACCTAAGACCACTAGGGACAAACCATCATTTTTAATGGCAAATGAGCTGAGCCATAGACCAAATGAGCAAATGAGCTGAGCCATTTTTAATGGCAAATGAGCTGAGCCATAGACCAGCTGTGCCCAACCGTGGATTTTGTAGGGGTTTTTCTTCTTCTTCCGTATAGACCACTGTGGCCACCTTTGTTTCTCATGTCAGCTTGAAGAATAGCTTTTAAGGATGTTTTAAGCTTTGCTTCCCGTACCGTCTGCCTCTTATTCCTTTTGCCTCTCACCAAAGAAGTTTTGTGGGTTTTGGCTGTTGATACAAAACAGAACGGAAAACATCCACGGTGGTTTGGAAGGTGATGGATCAATTAACTGCAATAATGAATAAATGCAACTCAGCCTTTGTTCTTGGAGACTGA